CCCTAGCAGTCTTCTCTGTCAAATACTCTCTTTCACTTTGGTTCTGATGTTCCATATGTAAGCAGAGTTTAACTCGTTAGGGAAAAGCCACTCTAGAAAAAAAAAGACTCTAATTGTGAGACCAGATGGTAAGCATTACTGAGCTGATGAGGTTGTGTAGATTTGAAGGAAGGTGTGGTAATACGATCTTGATCTGCAGCTGTGACCCGTTGTTCCAAAACAGCCTCCTTCCTCCCTGCTTTTCACGTCTGCATTCCAGCACCTCTCCTTCCGTCTTCGTGGGCACGGGGGCTCTCACGGATTGATTTGACAGATGCGGAAGGAAGGAATGAAGCTTGTTCTAAGAAGAGCAACTTTCAGCTATTTTATTCTAACCCACGGATATTTTTTTGAATAGCTCTCTCCCCGTGTTACTTGTGACATTGGCAAATAGCGCAAAATGTAACCACTCTTGTTCAGTGTGCTAGGAGATGGTTTCCCAGAACTCAAGTTGCCATGATCATATCATGTCCTTAAAATTCTGCATTTGAAGCCTGGCAGGTGCCTCGGACTATAGATGGGTAAACTCACGGTCATCCTCTCTGATCTCCTCATCTTCCCTCAGAAAACCCCCATCAACCTTTTTTCCTGTGTTTTCCTCCTTCAGTGAAAGGTAGCAACGTTCTTCCTTCACCCCAGTGGAAAATCGAAGCATCACACTTAGATTCTTTTTATCTTACCCATTTCATGAAGCCCGTCTCCTAAATAGTTCACTGATCCTTTCATACTCACCCTCAGTGCCACTGCCCTGATTCAGGCTTTCATTATTTCTCCTCTGGAATTTGGAAACATCCAATGTTTTTGTCTTTATTTTTATCCAGATTATTTTCTTCTTCTACTCTATGATAGTGTTCCATATTCAGTGAGACACCGACTAGGAGGGCCAATGACATTAACATCTCATGGAGGAGTATAGGTGAAGATCCTTCTTTCTTATAAGCTTTATGAGTTATTATAATGTGTGACTAGTCCCGAGAACTGGTGTGCCACACTGGAGAAATTTCGGATGTCTCAACCAGATGCCCAAAGCCTTCATGACCTTGAACATCTTATCTTCTGCCACTTCTGCTTCTGAATTTATAGTAAATAACCATAAAGTATTTATGCTTCCTCTTACTTTCCTACTGTTGCATACGATTCCTTTTTACATTTTATGTAAAACGTAAAATGTAAATCTAAAACGTTACGATACGTTTTATGCCTTGATCTGTGGGAATATGTCCATCGGAAATGTTCTGGAAATGTTCAAGCTACATAAAGCAGTGTCCCCACCAAGTACTCCATCATTTTATGTTCCATCTTGGTATAGGTATTGAGTTGACCCATGAGAACCTTCAGAATGATTTAGGGTTCCCATGCTTCTTTGCGTTCCCTCGCTCTCCCTTCTTACCTCATTCTACTCAACTGCAAGGCCTTGGAATCTCTTACAGTTGAGGTGGTTTCTTCTTGGAGCTGCCAGCTCGTCTACAGATCAAAACATGCTTCCACATTCTGCCCTTGGCAGAAATCTCCTCTGGTTCTGCTACACCAGGCTTTGCTCATGCTGCCCACAGTGTGTGTAGGTAGTCTAGTCATATAGATGCACAGTGTCTAGAGAGCTTTCACACGTTTCTTAGCATGATCCTCACCGTACCCTATGGAGTAGGCAGGGAGCTATCACCTTTCCACTTCACTGATGAGGAAATGAAAGTCCTTTGGACTCTTATTAACCTGCTGTTGGTGTGCCCTTGAGTCTCTACAGATTAGGTGTTGATAGGGTCCATAATGCACTTCTCAAGTCCTATCACCCAATGGAATTATGGTTGGCTGCTTATTACTAAAGGGGACTGGGTGTAGTTTTTGTTTGTTTTTAGAAGCTTGTGGGTAAATCCTTAATTTAAGCAAACTTGATTTCATAACATTCACTCACTATTTCATTTGTTTAAAGACTTTAGTTTTTAGTAATCTCTACACCCAATGTGGGGCTTGAACTCACCACCCCAAGATCGAGAGTCACATAGTCTACTGAGTGAGTGAACCAGGAGCCCCACTGACTATTGTTTAGAAGCCTCAGCACCTTGAGATTTTCTCCTTCAGTAGTCCATCTTGACTGAAATGGTCAACCAACCTGATTGGTTTCAGGTGTTGATTTCTGAGGCCTCTGCTGTGAGTCCCTCGAATTACTCTTTGAGTCTTGAAGAACCAAACAGTCTTGGGACTGTGTAGTTGGGCCTGATCACAGCACTAAAAACAGTTCCTTTTGGTGAAGAATGGACATGAGTCTGAGTTCCTCAGTGAAGTGTTCACATGTATTAGCTCCTGTGTCAGACTGGTGTTTCCCACTTCCTGTCTCTGATCTAACAAGTCTCCTTTACTTTTTTTTTTTTTTTTCCTTCTGGTCTGAAAGTAACACCCATGGGTTAGTTTCTGAGACTCTGGCTTTTATTGAAAAGATCTTGGTCCTTTTGAACTTAAAAATTGGAAGAAGTTACAAGCAACAAATGACCATATCTGAATTCAGTCACTTAAAGTCTGTGAGAATAAGGATGTTCCCTTCTGCTGCCCAGGAGGAGAAAAAGATCATTTTATTTCAAATAAATCTGTTGAGATGCATGTTGCTGGTATCTAATCAAGTTCTGAATTTGAGCTCAATTCGAGCTTTGATAAAAGAAAGGGAAAGGAAACTTACAAGAATGCTCTCCCATTCATGAAGGGCCTGCATGTTTTTAGTTTCCAAGTAAATGGAATAATGGGACCATGCATTTTCCATCCAAGCATTTTCCACCCTGAGAATAATTCCCTTCCTGGCTTCTCAATGAATAATGCATTATTTCTGAAACCCAAGAGGCATTCCTTTGATTTCCCTTTATGTTTAGCTTTCTGAGTGATTTTCAAGCAAGGAAATTCAAGGACTTGGAATGTAGGCTTTATTAACATTTTTACTTGAAGTTCAAATAGCTCCTTGGCTATTATCTCCTGATACTTGAAATATTTTTTTTTCGTCTCTGAGGAAAGTCTAAGGTATTATATTTATTAGAAAATGAAGCACCTTGGACAGTCTTCAAAGTGAACAGCAGTTTAAAACCAAGACACATTTGTGTTTTCGAACAAAGAGCTTTATGGGGGTACTTCTCTCCTTTATTTTCATTTCCCTGCTGAATCGTTCAAAAAAGAAAGCTTGCATTCAAAACTGAGCTGTTTGGAGACTAAATCTTTTGTGTTTACATTTTACAAAACTCACTCCTTGAGGCTGGTCGGGATCCACGACCCCAGCCCCAGCCTGGATCCACGTAGGCCGCTGTCATTTCCATCTGAAGATTCAGATGCATTTCAGGGGTCCTCCCTGTTCCCTCTCTGCTCGCTATGGAGCCTGATTACCCGTGCAGGGTGATCTGTAATGGGTTGTAATGGGGCCCACTGGTTCTGTTGACCTATGTCCTCTTGGCTGAGGAGCCCCAGCAGATCCCAGAGTAACACAGCGGTTGGTTTTGGTGCTGTTTCACAACTTCCATTTCCCCTGCGAGCCAGATTAGTGATTTGAGGAACAAAATCAGCTGAAATTAAGAATATAGTCTATATTTCCCTTCTTTCGCCGGTTCTAGTAAAATCTTAACAATTCAGAATAGCTGAGAAGAAGAGAAAGTGGATCTAAATTAGTAAAACATCTAAAGCATGAAGTTTGGTGTAAACATTTAATTTTATTAAGTTCAGGAAGCAGGAATATCACCTAGTATTTTCTCAGCTCCATCATACACGTGATGGGGTAATGGTTTCTCTCTCATACGGTGGTGTACAGATGAAATGAATTAGTATTTTTAAAGCGTGCAGAACAGCACCTTTTAAGTGATTGCTGAATAAAAAATAAATATCCATCTTATTGTTGGAAATTTCTATTTCCAAATGGGCCCATGATACTGAGCAGATAATAACAGTATTATTGTTGTTACTGCTAAAATACATACTTAATGATTATTTTCTTAGCCCTCGTTTACGCCTTACAACAAACCTGATGAGGCAAATACGATTGTTTCTATTTTCCACATCAGAAAACTGAGGTAAGAAAATTATTGTCCAAATTCACCCAGTTTTTAAAACAGCAAAGCAAGGATTTGAGTCCATTCAACTTGAACTCAGAAATTATGCCTTAAACTAAACATTAAAGGACATTGGTCACAGGCTTACCTTTTGTCCCAAAACAGTGTCATACTGCTCAAAACCTACCGTCATAACTGTTGAGGTGTGTATCTCCTATGCAGTCCGTCATGTCTCAGTTGCTTAGGGAACTCAGTGTTTTGCTTGAAGTAATCATTATCATCGTCTCATAAATACTCAATTTGAGTATCATAAGTACTCAAAATGATCCAGATCTCATCTAGATCAATGAGATACTATTAAATTATTTTAACATTAGAATTTTCTTCAGTTTTTTGTTTTTTGTTTTTTTTTTTTTCCAGCAAAAGAGCATTTCATTTCAGATGATGGTCTGGTGGCTTTGAATCTCAGTATTTCTTTTAATTTTATTTACTTACTGATTTTATTTATTTATTTGACAGAGAGATGGCAAGAGAGGGAACACAAGTCGGGGGGAGCAGAGGGAGAGGGAGAAAGAGGCTCCCCTCTGAGCAGGGAGCCCCAATGTGGGACTCGATCCCAGGATCCTGGGATCACGACCTGAGCCTAGCCTAATGGCTGAGCCGCCTAGGTGCCCCAAATCTCAGTGTTTTTTTATTGAACCGAGTTGCTTTGCTTTGTAATTTTATATATATATATATATAATATTATATTTGTTCTTCCTTTTAAAAATCTTCTCAAGGGGCACTCTCTCTTTCTGTAAAATAAATAAAATATCTTTAAAAAATTTTAATAATAATAATAATTTTATTATAAATTAATATATTATAAATGAGTATATTATAAATTAATATTTATTATAAATAATAAATAAGAAAAATAAAAATCTTCTCAATCCCTGCCCTTTATAGGTGCCTTTATCATCTGTTGGACTCCTGGATTGGTCTTGTTACTTCTCGATGTGTGCTGTCCACAGTGTGACGTCCTGGCCTATGAGAAATTTTTCCTTCTGCTGGCCGAGTTCAACTCCGCCATGAACCCCATCATCTACTCCTACCGCGACAAGGAGATGAGCGCCACCTTCAGACAGATCCTCTGCTGCCAGCGCAGCGACAGCACCAGCGGCCCCACGGAAGGCTCTGACCGCTCGGCTTCCTCCCTCAACCACACCATCTTGGCCGGAGTTCACAGCAATGACCACTCTGTGGTTTAGAAAGGCAACCAGGATGAGGAACCAGCCATTAGAGATGGAGGGATGAACAGCTCCCCCTCCCCCAGTGCCAGGGCCAGGTGGGGTGTGAGAGAGAGTGAGGAAAAATAAACTCTTGTACTTAAACACTAACCAATGGCAGTATTCGTTCCTAGACCCAGCAAGACTTGAGATATGCGGAAAATTAGCTTACGGGACAACCCTCATCCCGATCCCCGTTCCTTTTGAAAAGTAGAAAGTGGAGATCTTGCAATGGAATTCATAAACAGACTCGGGAGTGCCCATTTAGACTACACTAACTAGACTTCCGACGATTTGGTGTGGTTTGGTGCAAGTCAGAATAAATTCTGACTAATTGAATCCACAACTTCATCTACATACAGGCTTCCCTTTTTTTATTCCAGAAGGATACATTTCATTTAATAAACGTGTATACTTATCAGCATGCTTGCGATGGATAAGACTATAGGTGGTTTTTGAACTATCATAATTCCATTTTTTTCCTTCTGTAGGGAAACTGTAAATTAGAATGATTTTTTAGAAAGCATGCATGTAATGTATGTATGCAGTATGCCTTACTTAAAAAGATTAAAGAGTATTGATTTTAAATCTTCTAGGACCTAGAAGAACCTAGATGTCAAAGCCAGTATTTGTTTAGGTTATGAAACAATGCTCTAATTCTAATATTACCTTCTTGTCAAAGTGTCATAACACATGTAAAACAGGGAATGTAGGTTTATTACCAAAAGAAAATGTACTCTAAAAAAAAGTCCTAGAAGTTGAAGCACAGTAATATTGTTCCCACATATTTATAATATCAAAGTACGTTCTAATTATCAGTACATCAGAGGAATGTTTTAATAGCCTGTGTTTTCTGTATTATAAAATAATACATAGTCATTGTAGAAAACTTGAAAAATACAGAAATGTGTAAAACAGAAAAAAATAATTACTGGTAATCTCACAACCCAGAAGTAACCACCATTAACAGCTTTTCCCTCGTGTATGCCTCTATGTATATTATATAACTTTTTATATAATTGGGATCATACGTAAACGATTTTATAACCAGTTTTTTTTTTTTTCTTCCACTGCAGAGTTGCCACATTTTCCTACGGCATTAAAAATTTTACAAAAACAATTTTACTGGCTATATAATATTCCATTTAATGGATGCAACTCCATTTATTTAACCGTTCCCACACTGTTGACTCCTTAGGTCATTTCTAATTTTCGCTACTATAAACAATGTTGCAAAAATTTTGTGTACATACAACTTTGTCCGTGTAATTGATTATTTACTTAGGACATATTCCCATGAAGGATTTTTTTTTTAAATGTGAAATGTCTTTTTATGCTCTTACCTTTTATAAAAAGGGATTTCCTGCTTTGCGCCACATGGGTGGCAGTTGAGAGGAAAGCCAGTTAAATTGCCTTTTTACAAAGGAAATGCAGTGGTCACTTTAGTTGAGAGTGACTTTTTTATATCACAAGATGGACTAGAAACAGTTGTCACAAATAACCATGACACCGTAATGAACATGTCTAGCAATGCCAAATTTCGTTTGAGGAGCCAATGTCCAGCTCTTGGTGGCCACACCCATATGTAGAAGTGAGGGTCACGGGAAGACATCAAACATGCTAAGTGAATAAAGGATCCTCGTAGTAAATGGCTTGGGACTCTCCTGTAGCAAATGGGTTGAGTGTGTTGGTATGGGACTGGATACTGACTGTTCTTTAGGAATCACCGTGGTAGGTGATACCTGCTCAGTGAATGGTCCAGATGAACTAGTTATTGCACCAGTTTGTTCGCAAAAGTAACCGGTAAAAGTCACAGTCATGAAGCAGGTGTGGGAAAGTCGGGAGTATGTTTAAGAGAAGGATGTCCAGAAGAATCACTTTGTCTAGGAGGGAAGAAGTCAGCGCGGTCAGCATTTGAGCAGAGGGCAGACTTGTATGGCACCCACCGTGAGAAGAACAGGGGGAACCAGTCAGCAGAAAGGTGTTTGCACATTCTTTATACAAAATACAGAGCATGTTATATTGGAAGTGATGAAATGAACTTGGACTTTCATGTGCATATATTCTGGATGATTTGAAATTAAAAACATACTAATTGGACCTTAATAAATTCATTTTCAGTCAGTGTTTGGCAGTGTGCGGTTGTGGTCAGTGCTGTTTCTTTTACCCCTGAGTCTTCCAGCTTGGGTTTCGTGGTGCCTGCCTTCTGTGAACAACGTTATTTCCCTGCCACCGGGGCTTCCGTACTCTTGAGGTGAAGCCACCATATACTTCCCCAGCTCAGAACGGTGGCTTTTCAACATCAGGAATTAGTCTTATTCTTAGCATGGCTTTCTTTTGGAAAAAGTGATTTAATGAAAACTTTCTGGTTGACCTGATGAAAAACTCTCACTAGGAGTTTATAAAATGACAGTGATCTTCATGCTTATTGGTTGTTTTTCTTTCTTTAAAGATTTATTTATTTTAGGAGGGAAAGGGGGAGAGAATCTCAAGCAGTCTCCCTACTGAGTGCGGAGCCCCAGTTGGGGGTCGATCTCATGACCCATGAGATCATGACTTGAGGGGAAACCGAGAGGTGCTTAATAGACTGAACCACCCAGGTGCCCCTTCATGCTTATTGATTTTAATAACAAAAGTCACAGCTATCTTCCAGTTATATGCCAATCATATTTGTTTTGGTATATTTCTAAGATGTTGGAAAAGATAACAAAACGTTTATTCAAATGAATGTCTCAATGATTATTTGGAAGAGAATTCTGAACCTTTAAATTTAGGTGGATGTAAGATTGTTAGAAATCATATTTTAGAACTCTTCTTCACAAATTAGCCACCTCTTAGATGTTTTCTTTTTTAAATTAGTGAAACGATAATTTCCTAGACTCAAAACCTCAGCTGATACGTGGTTTTCCCATTTTTTTTCCCAATTAACTCTTAGGTTCCACTCTCTGTCTTCCTTCTAATTTACTCTGAGTCCCTCAACTTTAGAAGTGTAATTTTGTGATAATGTTTTTAAGCCTTTTTTTTTTTTAAGATTTTATTTGAGAGAGAGAGAGCATGAGCCAGGGAGAGAGAGAGAGAGAGAGAAGCAGACTCCCCGCTGAGCAGGACCCTGAGACCATGACCTGAGTCAAAGGCAGATGCTTAACTGACTGAGCCATCCAGGTGCCCCTCTAGTCCTTTTTCTTAAACCTGGCTTGTGACTCTTGCTAGATTAAACTGTAGAAACATGTCTTTATCAGTTCCCTTCGCTACACCAAGGTAAGAACATTTCTATGGCAAGACCTTTTTAAACAAATTGTTTTTCGCACCAAATGAGCTTCACCAAACCCCAGGCCCTCAGAGGGATTAGGATTTGAATGTGAATTGGGATGGGCTTGGATTCAGGCATGATCTGACAGAAGAAATGTGTGTAACTAAGAGCCGAATGGGTCTGCCATCTTCCAAAGCTGGGTGTGTTCATTCTATAACATTCACCTGTACCTTGATAATCTACACACAAGATTCTCTAGTTCTTATAAATTTATAATGCTTATGTTTACCAATTATTTACTAATTTTTTTAACGACCTGGCATGTAAAGACCATTTTAAAAAATCTAAAGCTGAGATCAGCAAATTAAGACCCATTGGCCAAATCTATAGTTTTTGTGTGAACTTAGGATGAGCTTTACATTCTTAAATGATTGGGGTGTGAGGGAGGAATATTTTCCAGCACATTATATGAAATTTCAGTGTCAGTAGTTCTATTGGAATACAGTCACACCCACCAGTTTATTGTTTATGGCTATTTTTGTATTACAATAGCAAAATTGAATAGTTGCAACAGAGATCATCCCTCAAAGTCTAAAATATTTACTATCTGACCCTTTACAGAAAAACTGTACCAACCCCTGATTTAGAGAATTCCATTTTCACTCATGCTGTCCTCCTCGTTTGTGTATTGCTTATCAGAAGAGGAAGAAGTTGGGTATACCACGATCTCTTGAGCTCTAGACTACAGAAAAAATTATCAGTTGTGTTTTTTTTTTTTTTTAAAGATTTTATTTATTTATTTGAGAGAGAGACAGTGAGAGAGAACATGAGCGAGGAGAAGGTCAGAGGGAGAAGTAGAGTCCCCATGGAGCTGGGAGCCCGATGTGGGACTCGATCCCGGGACTCCGGGATCATGACCTGAGCCGAAGGCAGTCGTCCAACCAACTGAGCCACCCAGGCGTCCCAGTTGTGTTTTTTATATAAAACATAATTTTTATTTTGAAACAATTTCAAAGTTTGCCAGGTTCACAGAACATTTTCTGGAACCATTTGGAAGTTGCCGACATGATGCCCCATCATCCTTGAATACGCTGTGATTCCTACAAACATTCTCTTTCACAACCTGAATACAATCATCAAAATCAGGCAATTAACACTGATAAACTACCATCTTATTCACAGCCCCATTCAAGCTTCATTCACCAGTTTTTCAGCTAAACGCCCCTTGCAGCAAAAGACTCCAGTCTAGGATCACTGGTTACTTAGTTACCACATCTCTCGAGTCTTCTGGGATCTTGGACAATCCCGAAGTCTTCCCTTGACCTTCCTGACCTTGACATTTCAAGGTCATAGGTCAGTGATTTTGTAGAATATCCCTGAATTTGGGTGCATTTAGTATATCTTTATGATTAGATTCATATTACTTTGGTAAGAAAACACAAGTGCTGCTGTGGTTCTTCTCACTGCCTCCTAGCAAGTAACCCACGAGGCTGATTTGTTCCTTTCCTGGTGATGTCAACTTCCATTACTTGATGACAATATTGCCTGCCAGATTTCTTCATTGTAAAGAAAATCTCTTTTTGCTTTTTTTTTTTGTAATAATGGCATTTTGTAAGAAATACTCTATTCATCATGGAATTTTGATGTCTAGTCTTAGCATCAGTTGATACTTCTTGGATGAATGAATCATTACTCTGATGATTGCCAAGTAATGAATTTCGAATTCTTTTTTTTCCTGTTAATTTTTGGTTAGCTTTCTACTGTAAGAAGGTCTTGTCC